CAAATCATGGCCAAGCTGCATTTCTGCTCCAAGGAACTCATAAAATTCCTGTGCTTGTGTGTATGTGCGTACACACGAGTGTGTGTGTGTGTGTGTGTGTGTGCGCGCGCGCGCACGCGTGTGCATGTTAGGAGAGAGTGGGACAAGCCTGCTCCCCCGGGTGAGACCCCTAGGAATAAGGAGGCCACTAGGTCAAGGGCTGCAGAGGTTGTGGCCCCTCCTGGTGACAATTCCTGGTGATTCCTCAAAGAAAACCAGAATAAGGACGGCAGTGCCATGAGGCATGTGGCCCACAGCCAAGTTCCCATAGCAAGGCCAGGGCCAGGAGGCCCAAGTGGCCACAGCACAGGCTCAGGAAAGGCCTCGGCTCCTCTAGACCTGTCCTGACCCAGGCCTCCTTGAGACTCCGGGTTAAAGTTACTGACAGACAAATCTACCAGATAACAGGAGATCTGCTTCCTGTAGCAAACACAGACAAGGCATTTCTGGTTTTAAAAGAAAAGTTTCTGATGTCCATGTTATTTTAGGATTTCATAAAAATGAAGCAACAAGTACTGCATACGCTTCATTTTATTAAAAGAAAAATAAACTTTTAAGGAAAAAAAGAAAGTTCTGTTAAACTGCCAAAATGGTTGTAAAGAAAGCCAAAACTTACTTTCAGTGAGAACTGTTTCCTCTGGAAATTAAAGGCAGATAATCTGATTAAATTACTTAACTTTGTAAATTCACCTTTAGAATTTTCTTCCAAATTGTACGTAACCTCAAGTTAATTTTTTATAAGCTATTTTTTGCTAAATAAAAAATAATTCCTCCATTTAAAGCCACTGTTTATTAGGTAACACTACGTCATAAAATTTCCAGAGGTTTCTATGAACACGGAAAAACCCTGATAGATAAAAGTGACCAATGGAGGAGGCATGCGATAATTGGAAGGAGCAGGGAGAGGGGGCGGAGGGAGACGGCAGCAGGAGAGCCTGACCTGGGCTGCTGCCAACGGCGACTCCGCTGTCCCAGAGTGCCCGCTTCAGCTCTACAGTGGGCGGCCGTGTGCTGGGGCTGCCAGCTGTGGCCTCTGCGGCCCTACTGTGTGCTCTCTTTTCCCAGCTCCACATTCAGGGCCTCACACCGGGGACCTGAAACTAGCGTGGTGAAAGGACTTCATCACAGAAACTGGCAAGTGGGAGAGTCAGCTAACAACACAGGCCAGAACGTCACAGGGAAGGGAGAAGTCTCTGGGGCCCCTTCTAGTGGGTCAGGCTGCTGAGGCTTGGAGAGGCGTCAAGCCAAGCCCCCCGTGACCATTAGCCATAAGTCACCTGGAGTTAAAAACACCTAGCAGATTAGGGAGCACAGTCCTAGGCATAATAGATGACTGATACATAGGCCGGCGAACTGTGGGGGAGGACCCACCTCACATGTGGGTGGCACCAACTCAAAGGCTTGTTGCCTGGATGGGAGAGGGGGAGAAAGAAGGATTCAGGCTCGCATGGTGAATCTCCAGGGAGCGTCCAGGCCCTTGACCTGGAACTGTGCTACAGCCCTGACCCTTCTTTGTCAGTAGCTCTTTCTCCTTGGGCTTAGCCGCTTGGGGATCCTCTGGTCTCTGGAGTGCTGATGGCCACTGTGGACCCTCTTGCCTCTGATCACAGATGGCCACTGTGGACATTCCCTGTTCGGATCCTGCAAACCTACCTAAAAAATCTCCTTGAGTGCTTATACACATGTTCTCTGGTTCTGCTCCTCTGCAGAACTCTAGCCACTGCTAGGGTACTAACCCAGCTGCCCAGGTCCCAGAGTCTGTGCCCTCAACTCTTATCCTCACAAGAGAGGTCATTTCCTTACAAGGAAGAAGGGTTGTCCTATTCAGTGAGATTTCAGAGGTGGAAGAAATAGATGGAAGAATAAACCCTTGTCTGAGTCATTTAATCCCTGGATGGCCATTTCCCAAGCTAGCACAGTGTAGGATCTCTATCCCAGCTGAGAAAGGCAAGCCCACATTAAGTCCTCGATGAGCACACTCAAAAGACAGCTACACAAATGGACTGTGTATGTGACTCAGGTGTCTTCTAGTTCTGAGAGAAAAACTTTGCTTCCTGCAGAGAAACAACGAACAGGGAGAAAGTGTGCACACAAGGAGGGCAAGTCTGCAGAATGGCACGATCCTATGAACAGCAGCTGACTTTTAAAGAAACAGTAAAGTTTGTTTGACCCTACTGGGCCTGTGGCGCCTTGGCAGTGAACAGAGGTGCTATGGTTTATGTCTAGAATGTCCCCCCATGCCTCGTATGTTCAGAGGGGACTTTGGGAGGGTGACTGCATCATTGGGGTGCTGTACTCATGGGTCTGTTAGCCCTCAATGAGGTACTGCTAAATGTGCTGTCAGAAGGTGGAGCCTGGCTGGAAGAGGTGAGGATGGGGGTTGTGACCTGGGAGGGAGCATCTCTCTCCTTCCCCACTCTCTGCTTCCTAGCTGCCATAGGATGAGCAACTTTGCTCTCCGTGCTCTTCTTCTTCCTGTTGTTTCTTCCTCGGGGCCTGTTGACCATGGGCCTCTCCTCCTTTAAACTGTGGGAGCTGGCGGTTGGTCCCCGAAATGGGAAAGTGACTAAGACAGAGGAGGTATCAACTGATCCCTGCGCTCATCTTCTGCCTGGGGTGGGTCCAGTCTGAAAGTGCTGTATACCTGGGGACTGTGCATGGAACAAGATGCCGGTGGCCTTTGCCTGAGATGCTCATGGCCAAGACTGCTTCTGGGATTTGCAACACTAGACTACTCAGGAGTAAGGGACATGAACGTGTCACTCCAACTGCAGGAGAGTGAACAACAGCCCTCAGAGTACCAGGCTCCAATCCTCAGAGTCAGTAAAGGCTGCCTTTTATGGGAAAGAGCATACTACATGAGAGAGTAAGTTACAGATCCTAAACTATAAGATTATCCTGCACGATCAGGGAGCCCTAAAAACACATTGCCAAACAAGTGTCCTTCGAGGAGAGAGAGGAGGAGCCTTGACAAGTGAAGGCAGCAGTGTGACCACAGAGCAGACTGGTGGATGCCATGTCCCCAGCCTGGTGTGCCTTGTATCCCTTTCTCTCTATACATATGGCAGGCAGGGGCAGGGGGACATCCTATGTGCTATTTTTTTTTTTTTTGTCTTTTTCCTTTTTATCGGTACCAGGGATTGAACTCACGGCTGCCTGCTTGCAAGGCAGGCGCTTATGCCGTTGAGCTAAATCTCCAGCCCCTCCATGTGCTATTTTAAAGCATTGACTCAGGATCTCAGGGTGATCTTCAGATTTGATGAAAAGTGAAAAGCTCCACTGACATGAATTCTGCCAACTCTGTAGTTTGGTAACTAATTTTGTTTGCGGCAATTAAAAAACAATTAAAACATGTTTAAACCATGTTATGAAACCAAACAACACCTTTCTCATGGCAGCCCCAGAGTGCCAGGCTACTGTAGTCTCCTCACTGTGGCAGATTTACCTGCAGTGCTACCCAGACCCTGATTCACCTGCCCCTTCTTGGACCAGCAACACACCCACATGAACTGCTAGACCACAGGGCCTGAGAAATGGGCCTCTCCACAAGCAACTCTTCACAAAAGCTGGGCGAAGAAGGGAGAAGGGGAGACGGGAGAGGGGAGAAGCAGCAGCAAACTCTCCCCCTGGGGGAAAGTCAGCAAAAGTCTAGCAACCCTATCAACCAATCTGCATGCAAGTGCATAAGCGTCTTTCCAGCTAACTTCTCAGGGTCCAGGGAGCTTCTGAGGGCATCTGCTCAGTGAGGGAGGATTAAACACTGTCAGACCCCAGATTTCTGTGGAAAGAGTAGCAAAGACAAAACCTGAACCTGGCTGTCCACTTGCTGATAAGGAAGGAAGGCCTTTGGTTTCAATTCCTGCAGGACCCTGCCGAATGGCCCAGAAAATCTGATATTTTAAGGCTGTTTTGAGTGGCAGTGGGAGGCACATACCTAACAGTGTCTATTCAAACACAGATGTGCACAGGTCTCTCTGGGCCTCAGTTTCCCTGCATGTAACGTGAATACGCTTACATGGATCTTTCTGGGAACAGTATTTTCCTGTATCCTCATACCAAGAACACGGTCATTTCATTTTCTTGTAAAACCGATTCGATTTTCAAAAACTTACATAAATTCATTACAAAAGAAAACAACTCTAAAACGAAAACCATTCAAAGCCGGCTGCCCACTCCTCCTCGGCCAGTCGGCCTTTTTCCTAAGCCACTGGCCTGCAAAACAAGGCCGGTTCAGACCTCGGCCAGGCTCACAGCTGGCACGCCCCACCCCGTGGCCCTCCGTGAAGCCAGAGAGACGCCTTTCACAGCTTCAGAAGTTCCACCCGGTTCTCCAGCCACAGGGGCCTGGAATGGGTAACTGAATCCTACTCAAGAGGAAAAAAGCACAGTGACCTTTTGTCCCAGCAGAAGTTCCTGGCTCCCCAGCAGCCGGCGGAGGCGGCCTGGCCAGGAGAGCGAAGAGTCGCGGACGTGCGCGGGGCCCAGGCTGCGCGGAAGCGGCCCTGCAGGACCGACAGCTCTGGCAGCCGAGGCCCTCGCCGGGACCCTCGCCGAGCTCCCGGCATTTTAGTGCCCTCCCCGCCTCGCCCGGAGGTCTTCAGCAAAGAAAGATCCCACGCAAAATCTATGCTTCCAGAGGCAGAGCTCGCGGTGCCACGCGAGGAGCGCGCAGCCTGGCCGCTCTGCCCGTGGGCGCCTTTGTGGACGACGCGGGCAGCGTGGAGGAGCGCGCGCGCCCTCACCTGACACAGGTGGGGACGTCTCTGCGTCGCGGGGGTCAGGGGGTGTCCGAGGCCAGCATCCCGGTACCTCACGCCCGAGGCAGCGCCCGGGGGCGGGGCGGAGCGGCAGGCCCAAGCCCCCAGGCGGCGCCCGGCAGTGGGCACCCGGCAGTGGGCACCCGGCAGTGGGCACCGGGCTGGGCTCCGCGCGGGCTGCGGGCCGCGGGCAGGCCCACTCACCGCACATCCTGGCTTCGCTCCGCTGCGGCTGGTCGGGTCGGGTCGGGTGGGTCCTCCGAGCTCCGTGCGCTTCGCGCTCCTTGCAGCTCCGGCTCCCGCTCCGGCGCGGCCTCAGCCCTTATAGCCGCGAGCCCTCCGGCGGGGCCGCCCCGCGGCTCCCATTGGGTCCCGGTTGTCGTGACAACGGCGAGAGCCAGAGGCGGAGTCCAGGCGCGGGCGAGGGGCGGCTCCCGGTCGGGACAGCGCGGCCAGGGCGTCCAGCCCGGACGGCAGATGGCCGGCTTCCGATCTGGGGTCTGCCTCTGCCCGGGTGCGCGACGCGGGCCGGGACTGCCCCATGCCTCGGTTTCCCGCTCTGTACCACAGTGATAGCAGCGGGACCCACTTCCGGGCCGTGCTGAGGATGGACACGTGGTGTCCTCCTGTGCCAGGCGCAGGGCGCACGGGCAGCCGCCAGGTACCTGCGCCCGGACACCGCCCGGAGCCCCCTTCTTGGTTTGAGCCCTCCGTGCCCATCATCTTCGCCCAGCACGAAGGCGAGCCACAGCAGATCAAAAGCCCAGCAGCACCCGGGAGGAGACAGAAGAAAAGCGCAGGGCTCCTCAAAAATGGGCAAACGCCTTTCCCCAAACCCGGTGCTGACAGCCAGAGCTGGAGGCAGGGCCCTAGCTCCAGGGGAGCTGCACCCCAGACCTGCCGCACTAGAGCCGGATCCCCCCGCCCGGGGTCCGCAGCCTGACCTGACCCGCGTGAGTCACTCGCGGGAGGCTTGGTCCCTGCCTGGTTCCCGACCGTCCCTCCCTCCTTGGCGCTCCAGCAGTCTCCTAAGGCAGGTCACGAGAACTGGCCCAACATTTGCGTATGTGGAAGCCATCTGGTGTTTTCTGATGTTTTTCTTTTTTTCCCCCCTTTTTCATTAAAAAAAAAAAAAATCCTGAAATTCTAAGCAGATCCTTTCCAGTCATGTTAGGAAAAGCAGTTCTTTAAGTCTTGTCCAGGGCATCTCCCCCACACTTGTCTGCTCTCTAGCTTCACCCGGAAGCTGTAGGGGAGGAGATGTTGGTTGTGTCCCTCAAACTGCTGAGAACTCCGAGGCTCCAAGGGGGTGAAGGAGAAGGCCTGGCCGTGTCCCCGCCGCCGCAGCCGGGGCGGGGGGAGTGTGATTCTGGAGGGGTTCTGGAGTTGCTGCTTCTGCCCCTCCACTCTGCAGGGTCGCATTCCTTCACACCACACTGCCTCTGGCCTGTCCTGGGCCACGGACTGTAGGGACTTGATGAGTGAGCCCCGAGTTCTACCCCAAGCAGCACCAAGAAAGTGTCCTCCTGGTACTTACACAGTGGTGGGAAGCAGAGAGCAGGGCAGCTCCAGGTGGGCTGCCGCAAGAGGGAAGCGGGGACAGGCGGGGAGGGTACTAGGTCCGGGCCAGTGCAGGTGGGCAGAGATTCACAAACTGGGGAAGGGAAGGAGAAGCAAGTGAGGTCTACAGTTCAGCATGGAGATCTGGATGCTCTGCTCCATGCTGCCCCACTGAGCTGAGAACAGGACAAGGTCATAGGCCTTCCGCTCCATTGAGAAGGGTGGAGTCCTAGGTCCTGCAAGGTTCAGATCTGTCCTCCAGCCTCCTTGGTGAGTCTCCACAGTGAGGAGTGGAGGCAATGGCAGTACCCCCAGCATACGGCCTCCTTGGGAACCAGCGCCTGAGAGTCCTCTGGGAGGCAGCCTCCCAGTCTGCCCACAAAGCCTGTAGGCCCATCTGGCCATAGCATGGTTTGGGCTCAGCACTGGATCAGTCTGAGCTTGTGACAACTGCTCATGGACATGGGGAGTGCAGCAGACTCGAACTGGTCCTCTCCTCCTCTGTGACATAGTTGGTAGGGGTCACCTGGGGCACTGAGACCTTTTTATCACCTTGGTGGTAGGGAGAGACTTTCTGAGGGTGGAGTGATCCTGTGCAAAGCAGGTCCTCCAGGATGGAAAACGATGCATGTTGGGGACGTCCATTGTTCAAACATGTCCTTGCAAAGGTGTGTGTTGGAAATGTCATCCCCAGTGCAGGTTAGGAGGTGGGGCTTTGGGCAGCAGATATGGCTTAGTAGCAGTGTTTGCCTAGCATGTTTAAGGCCCAGAGTTCTACCCTGAGCAGCACCAAGAAAGGTAGGATCTTTAATTAGACCGTGAGGGCTCCACCACTATGAATGGGTCAGTGTCAATTATTGAAGGACTCCAGACTGCAAGCCTGTTCTTCCATGGACTCCCCTTCACCATAGATGATGCAGTAAAAAGGCCCTCGTCAGATGTGGTTCCTTGGTCTTGGGCTTTCTAGCCTCCAGAAATATGATCCAAACAAAAGTTTTACTGTTTAAAAATGATCGTTCTGTGGCATTCTGTTATAACAGCACAAAACTAAGATAGACTCGGTAAATTATCACCTTTGTTAAGGCACTCTCTAGTCACTTCTGTCCCGTGCCATCAACCTTCAACCTGCTGGAACTGGGAACGAAGATTCAGGGGCGCAGTCGGGCAGCAGCTGGTGGTCTCAGCTATAGGGACCAGTGCTGAAGACAGTTCCCTTTCTTTTTTTTTTTTTTTTTTTTTTTGTCTTTTTCCTTTTTATCGGTACCGGGGATCAAACTCACGACTGCCTGCCTGCAAGGCAGGCGCTTATGCCACTGAGCTAAATCCCCAGCCCCCGACAGTTCCCTTTCCGATCCTCTTCTTTGCTGTAGACCTGTCCAGAGGCAGCCCACAAGGCTCTGGGAGTTCAGGAAGATTAAACAGCCATGGTAGAGGGACAGATCTGGATTGGGGAGCTGAAGTATGGCCCCTCTGGGGGACAGAGGATGTCAGACAGAGTGTAGATGCCCTTTCCTGCCTGGCCTGCTACCCAGGCTCGGAGAGAGACTTCCAAATGTCCAGTGCTCAGAATGACCTCCATGGTTGGCTCTAGTCTCACCTTTACTGCTGGCCATCAGGCTGGTCGCAGGCAGAACTGAAAACAGCCACAGACAGGGCTTCTTCACCTACGCAGGTGTTTTACAGCTCTTTGCTACTGGAAGGCGCACTCATTGATCTCCTAAAGTACCCAGAGACTCAGAAGACTTCATTTTTCTCCCCCCTCCATCACTCCCAACAGAGAGCCCAGCCAAGTTTGAGCTGTCCTGGTAGACACGGTGTATGTCTGTCTTCCGGGCACAGGCCCTGTTTAGCTACTTTTCCTGGTGACATTTCTCTAGGGTCTAGGGAGTATTTCAGGAACTGTGGTGTAGTGAAGACTGCCCCCGAACTACAGCTAACAAATGTGAGTGTTCCAGTGAAACTTGTACCAACCTTGCTACAGAGTCCTCGCTTGCCTCCACTCTTGCTGACTGTGCCTGAGCTGTGACTCCAACAGCAGCCTCCTCCCTGTGTGGAAAAGCCAAGCAGAGCTTTGTGTTGCCCAGAAACCCAGTCCAGCCAGGGCCTTTTGAGCAGATGACCTCCAGGGCATTAGTAGAGGGCCCAGGAAGCTGTAGATGTAGGGGCTAAGGCTTACAGCCAAGACCCTTGTGCTAGATCACAAGGTGTGGGGTAGTACCAGGGGGACTTGAAGGGGCCTGTCAGCAGTGCCAAGATGTACACTCCTGTGTGCTCTCCAGCCAAGATAAGCGGGTTGGTGCTGTGGGGTAATGCTTGTGTCCTCCCCAACTTCAGACATAGAAGTCCTAAGCCCCAGGGGAATAGGTAACTGAGGGGAGGATGGCCAGGTGGGAAATAATCAAGGTATAAAGGACAGATATTAAAGGGTTAGTGTTCCTATAAAAGAGATCCTAGAGCATTGCCTTATGAGGACACAGCTAGAAGGACCAGGAAACAGATCGTACCAGACACTGAGTCTGCCAACATCTTGATTTTGGATTTCCTAGCCTCTGAAATTGTGAGAAATAATATTCTGTTGGTGAACACCACTCAGTTCAAGTGAACTAAGACAAGTGATGATGGTCTTTCTACTCCTACATAGTCCTATTGGAACTCATCCTTTACCAAGCAGCAGTTATTTCAGGCAAAGCAACTCCTCAGGACCTAAAAAGCTCATTTCAAAGTCCTGCATGTCTTAGTTACTTTTTCATCACTGGGACAAGATACTTAACACTTGCAATTAAAAGGAGAGGTTTATTTTGGTCCAATTCAGAAATTTCAGTCCACATTCAGCATCTTTAACATAAAAATGGCATAAGGAAAGCCTGGGGAGAGGAGAACAGCTCCTGTCATGGTGTCAGGAAGCAGAGAGAGAAGGGAGCAGCTCGGGAGGAAGAGACATCTTTTGGGGTCATGTCCCCAGGGGCTTCCCTCTTCTGATCAAGTAGAATAATTTGAAAAACATTGCTGGTGTTTTTGGTGAACAAGGACTCCACTAGCAGTTAGAGTGCAGATCGTGTGTGTTGTGCTCTGGCAGAAAACTTGTCTACAGTTTGCTCCTGTCCTGAGACTTTGTGGGAAGCTGAGATTAAGAGCGGCAGACTGATTCATCTGGCGTCTCCCCCCAACAGCAAGTCAGCTGTTGTTCCCCCAAAATTCTATAACTTCTCAAAACCCTGCCAAAAGCACATGAGTCTTTTGGATGATATTATTGCTCTAAACCATAACATTTCCCCCAGATCCCCTTGACCTGTGGTTAGAAAGAATTTTCTTTATATAAATTGTATTTAGTCCATCTCTAAAAGCCACCAAAATCTTAAATTTCAGCCTTGCTGCAAAGTTCAAGCCCAAAGTCTCCTCTGAGACTCAATGTAAACTCTTAGCTGTGAGACCCTGTGTAAACCAAAAAGACAGTTAAACCTTGCTGACATACTGTGACACAGTGTAATGTTCCCATTCCAAAAGGGATAAATAGGGAAATAGAAAGGAACAGGACCAAAGCAAACATTCAATGTCTAGCTCCATCTCAGCACCAGGGGCAAAAATGTGAACTCCAAATGGCTTGAGCGGCCCCACCGCTGTGCCACTGTGTGTTGCAGTCCCCATCCCTTCCCTCTTAGGCTGGGTTTGCTCACCGCCTGCAACTTTCTTCCCGGCTTGTCCAACTTTCTGAGGTCTCCACTATTTCACGCTCACACATTCATACATTCCTCTCAGGGGCACACTGCCTAACCTCCCAGCCAGTCT